AATCATATCACCGTTCGTCTGTTACCCCAAGTGAAGTTAAGATGAGAGCGTCTGCCATTAATTACTCGATAATAATATCAACAGTAGCTTAGTAATCTTCCATGGCACGAGCCAAGCATGCATTCAGAAAAATACCGTAATAAATTACAATGTTTCATTATTCACATCTTCTTCATCGCTCTTCTCAATTATTTTGCCTTCTTATTTAAAAAAAAAATTGCATTGCGTATCAATTTCAGCTCTCATTATATATAATTTTTCATGAATATTTTAATCTACGTACAGAGAATTCAGAGAATTCATTTGCAGATGAATTTAGTGAGTAGAAGTAATTTTTTTTTGTCAGTGCACTCCATTTGTTGTCATCGCTGTCATAAAATATCTGACAATGACGCATAGTATGATACAGACCAAGGGATGTTGAAGAGAGGGCGGGGGATAATAATGTCCGGTGTCCAATGCTCGTGTAAAAACATGACGCATAAGTAAACACTGACTGGCTTGGAAAACGAAAGAAAGGAGAATAAGGCAAGATAGTAATTATCCAGTAGTCACTTCGGATTTTCTGAAATCGAGGAAGATAATGAGTTGATTCATGCTAATGATAATTTATTCAGTCAGAGTCGGGTGTGAATGTTGAGGGATGTACGCCAGTCTCATAATTAATAAAATTACACAAGATGTACTATTTATTTATTTATCTAAATTATATAAATTAAAGTAAAGGGACTGAGGATTTTTGCTGCAGGAAGAGTCCGGCTAGTTCCTTCTCTTCAAGAGTTTGTGTTTTAAAAATGATTGATATTCAGAAATTTTTTTTTTGCGTCAGGGAATTGTTTACGTGTCTCTTATTTTGGAAAATCTTCCTGCGTGGAGTTCTATTTGACGCATGTGATTTTTCACTGACGAAATAAACGCTGAAAAAAACAGCACAGGGATAACTGATGGGAGAATTCGGTGACGTTCACCATGACCTTGCTTAAATGCGGGATTCAATTATGCTCGATGAGGCCCCGAAGAGTCGAGATTGATTGCCCATTTAGCCATTCTTCAGCGACTACTTATCGTTTTTATACCCTCGTCGTTTAACATTTTAAATGTTAACCGAAGTGGTAGACTGGACTCTAATGTATCTGCGTCTAGTCTATTTTTCTCAGCCACAATTGATTGTCCAGATTGTCTGCATCAGCGGATATTTGCGTCTTCAATCGCGAGGAAAACATTAGAAATTGAAGAATGTCAGTTATTCACAGATAAGACTAACAAAAATCGACAGACAAACAAAAATCTTCCCCCAAATAAAAAAAGGGCATTCTAATCCACCCCAGTAAGAGTGCAACGGGCAACATTATTATTTACTCAGTAATTATCTCTCCCACTTATCTCACTTCTCACAAATATTGGACAGAACAATCGATATCTATGAATGGTAACTACTCATCGATTTACCTTGACAGATAAATCCATAATCAACTGTACCCGGATAAAAAAAAAATTGTAATCGAAATACTTTTTCCAAATTTTCAGAAAATTTTTTTTATGAAATAAAAAAAAAGTCCGAAGACAAGACAATTTTATTTTTCGGAAAGGTTTAGAAAAATTTTTCAAAAATTTGAATAGGACATTTTTTATTATAATTTACATGGCGGTTTTTTTGAGAATATTGCAAAATAAAAAAAGTAAGAAACCAACCGTATAATTAAAAGAAAAAATTATATTCGCAAAAATTTCTAGGAAATTATAAAAAAAAATTTCCCACTCTTTTAAAAAAAGTTTTCCAGGAAATTTTTGGAAAATTTGGAAAAAATATTCCGAGCACAATTTTTTTTTACCCGAGTAACGTATTTGCATTATTACGAAGATGGAGAATTATGAGATAATAAGAAAAACAGGAATGAGTAAACATCCCTCGATAGGGAGAGTAAGAGCAAGCCTGGAAATCGTTGGAAAACTCCCAGAGGCTTTATGAATCAGTTTGTTTTACAATTTGTCATGACTCCTCGGTCGTCCATTATCAATCATCTCTTCACTCCTATGGGCTGCCTCTGAAGATGCAGTAAAAACTATTTCTTCCCATGTTAGTGTCACGTAAACGCAGTTACGACTCCACCACCAGAGATTAGATTATCGGCTTAGTGTGCTCTCGGTGTGTCCCCACCAATGGGATACTTTTCTTTCTTTCAAAACTCAAACTCCTCAAGTCGTCTGGTTTAGTATCCACGCCGTTAGTACACCACGCAGATCGGAGTGAACAAGATATTTTTTTCCCAGTAACTGATTGCACATCAATTACCACAATCATCTCCAGACTTCACTCCAGCTCCACGAATATTCAACATCTGTATGAAAAATCATGAGTTTGAACATACGCGAGTGAACATTCCATTTAAAATCACGCATTCATACACCAGTTGAACAAGTGGGTGCATCATAAACACCAAAAATGCGGTTTGACGATCAATTATTGACGATTCTTGGTGAGTACCTCAATGAATTCGCTAGCCTTCATTAATTTATTCACCTGCATCTCTCTGAGCTCTCAACACTATTTCCATGAATTTTTTTTTCAATCCGTAAGGTCTCGCTAAAATCCGTGCAAATCCCTCATGAATTACCCAAAGCCTTCACCGCGTGGACTAACAAAGGCAGAGTCAATTTCAAATATTATATGACTATAAACAGAATAGGAAAAAATGCTAATGTTAAAAAGCCCAGTCAACGGCAAATCTTCTCGTAACCTTCAACTTATGTTATGTCAACTGACAATGTAAGAGCACATTGTAGGTACTTGACAATTCACTCAAATAGCCATATCCCGCGCTACACACAAGTGCGAACCACTTTGCCAGTTTCTCTCATCTCATCAAACACCAAAGAGACATGCATTCCACTTACGTAATGCGTTAAAGTCTGAGCTTACACTCGGGGTAAATATTACGTATTTGCTGTGTGATTGATTGTCTGCGACAAATAATTTTTTCAGCTCTAAATATATTCTCAACAAACTGATTCTTTCAATCTTCGCCTGAATTGTGATGCTGATGAATCTCAGAATTTTTAACAATTGTCCACTCCATATTGAAGTCCTCTGTCATGAATCGCCAAATCGATCTCGCTTTGTTTACTGAAATATTTTCGTCTTTCAAATTTTTCATAATTGTTTCCTCAAGGCTCAGATCTTCAACACAGCAATAAATCCAAATCATCTGCAATGACATGAATTTTTCGCAAGACTAATCATCCACAAATGCTATCCAATTGGCTGTAAGTGTTCTCTTATAACATTGATAAATCACCAACACAGACACAGTACTCGTTAAATTGCGGGTTAAAATGGGAATTATCTTATTCCGCAGTAAACAGTGAATATTTTATTGGATGAGATTTCCAATAAACCGATAAGACATGTAAAACATTGGGTGTTCTCTGAAGAATTGATGACATGAAGTCATTACAACAGAATATTTAATCCCTATCGCAATTTGACATGCATTTGGAGAGATAATTAGATGTGAAGAGAAAATATGGAAGCATGCTGTTTGTGACAAGTAAACAGAGCGATAGGCTGGAGTGAAATGATTCATTTTTCAACGACAAGTCTTATTGTCCACCGGTCAGAAACATGAATAATTGGACAAGAGTTGCTACATTCGCAACTGTACTTCACTTATCGCAGAACTTGACTCATTTAATTCAACACTGGCTTTGTCCTGCATACCAATCCTTATTCCACGGTTCACTACAATTACACGTAATTTCCACATGTCTTCGCCAAATGTAGAATTCATTAGAACGATCATTATCATTAACAGAAAAAATCCAATTTCTGAGATTCAAATTATGGCTAATTGCTACAATTATTATTGAACTCGGGAAAAAAATATGATGCATCGTGGTTTTACGTTGAATTAATTAGTTCCCGAGGCATTGAGACTAGTGATTAGATATGCCTCTTGTGTTGTGCACTCGATCTATTTTATTCCACAAATAATGACATTCACTATTATTTATTAAGTAATTGTTTTCCTCATTCTTTGCTCGCACTGCTGCTGCCAATGAATTGATTCTCTCACACGGAAGCTTCAGTGCATCATTTATCCTTTATGATGGACATAAAAAAATCTAAGCGCACCTACAAGTTTTTAGGACCACTCTGTAAAAAGAGAAATGAAAATTCCAAGGTGGCATCTTAAATGACCGTGACTCGCGAGTCTTCGATATTATTAATCTAACACCATCAAGGTCGTTACTTTTTTTTTTAATAATAAATATAGAACATTTATTGAGTGTCTTCAATGATATTAATTGATTGACATTATTAATTATCAATTCTATTGAGTTCCCTATTCTTTTCGAGGTCTTCCTTTTATTATTCAGTTTCATTAGAAAGTCAGTATTAAATTTAGGAGGCACCGACCTCTCCTGACAGGGCCCTCGAAACATTTCCGTTTGTACATGTTATTGAAATTCGTGCATTTCAGATGCTAGATTAAGGCAATATAATTATGCAACACGTTGCGTTGAATTAAAATAACTAATGAATTTTTAACGGTGTGGGAGAAAAAAGTGGGGCCGATTTTCTCACATTTTCGGGATTACTTAGACACTGGGGGCGAAATATAATTGAACGAGTGGAATTAATTCTCAATTACGCATGATTCAATAACGGCTGTCATTTTTCCGACATCCGGTTAAATTCGTCGCATCGTATTTTACAATTTCATCAATACCAAGTATGAAAAGATATTTCTAATTGAAAATTGAGCTAGAAAAAAAATTCTTCGGCTATTATTCATGATAAATTAATAATAATTCCGTAAAATGTTGAATTTGACTCATGGACACTTGACCATTTGTTCGCGGAATCATTTCACGGGTAACAGAAGAGGTAAGATACAAAGCCAAAATGATTCAGTAATAAATAGCAAGTAGATAATCATGATATTCGCTACTTACTATTTCTATATCCCCACCCGTTTTAACAACGCCAGTAGCGCAAAACGTGCCTGCCTTTACAGCTGTTTCACCAGTCGGCAGTCAGCCGTTGAGTTGTTGAATTGTGATAAAGAAAGATAGAAAAATTAAAAGTGATAAAGAGAGACAGAGAGGAAGAGTGAGAGACAATTGGATCTAGAAAAAGAAAAAAAAATCATAACAGCACAGAGACATCGATACTCCCGCCACATGTTTATTCCTTCTAGTTTTCCTTTTTGCAACATCATGACCCATTAAAGCTCAGTACTTGCACATTCAATTCTCAATCAGTGATTTCTCCATATCAATCCTTTCAACCTCCATTCATAATCGGCGATGGATGAGAATGGAAAATTAGAGATTGTTACGAATTACGGGATAAAGTGCGACAGGTGTAATTCTTTGGAGAGTTATGGATCTGGGATTGAGTTATTTTTGCTACTTTGCATAAATACTGTGGTTTGGGTGGGAAGTGTCTCTTCGTAGTGGATTCCATTGATGAGAGCTGATGGGATATGTTTTTAACAGAATCAACAGGTGAACTGGATCGATACCAAATTTATTCCGGTGCCATGATACTTACGGACTACCGGTGGAACTTGTTAACTTGCGATTCCAATTTATTAATTGTTTCACTTGTGCTGGCAGTATATCGTTCGCACCGGGTTATCTTCCACTTGTACACATGAGTATTCCTGGGGAATGGCGAAAAAAATACTCAGTACATGTATGAGTCTCTTTGACGATTGAGTAGACACTCGTGAACATTTTTCATTTTATCCGCGCGAAACTGAACGAGAGTTTTGTGGAGTCGCTGTCATGAAGGATATGGGATTGGCAGGTAGGCTTGACTAACTTGTTTTGTATGAACAAAAAAATTATCCTCTTGCTGATTTTACTGGGGAGTGAACGCACCTCAATTTATTTCAATTTTCCATTTATTTTTATCTCCAACGCAATAATAAAAGATTTCAACTGCTCGCAGATTGCGTAAATTCCAATGATGAAGAGTGAGAAGGAATGGGATAAATATGTCGTTTATTCTTGTGTCGGAAAAAATTTCTTCGCAGGGCAATTTTCATGCATTTTTATTATTTTTGCTTCATGTTTCCGTTAGAATGGCTTATGAAATAATTGGGTCATTAGCGAAAAATTATGTCACGCCTTTTTTTATCACTTTAACTCTGACGACAGACGTTCTACGAGCGGGAAAATTTGGGGAGCGAAATACGAAAGATATTGCACGAATTATTAAGAAAAAAAATCGCCTGGAATCATCTCAACGGAAAATCGTATTGCAAAATAAAATGTCGTTCCAATAATTATCAACTACACAGTCATCACATATCGGCAGTATTATTAATCATGGGTATATATTCTCGGAAGAATTTCCCGACACATTCGATTTGCAGGATTAATTACAAAAATGAGCCTCCTCATTACGTAGACGGTGAAAAATACGATGTTTATCCCATTTTTTGTTATTAATTTTTTTTTGTTCTCAATATGTTTTTATCGGAAATTTTTTACATCATGAATATATCGGGAGAGGTTATACCAATAATTAGATGCATGAAAAAAAAAAAAACACCTAGAGAGTCTTGACACTTGACCGCCACCTCTTATTTCTCGTCTCACTCCATGTGTCTCCATTGCTGACGCAAAACAGGTTGTCTCTCAGGTGCAAATTTATTACAGCGCTAAGATGCCTTGAATATATCATACTCCGTATTCCTACGTGGGTTGTTCCTGTGAAATATCTTTTCATAGACTGCCACAAAAAATCAAAGTATTATTGCTTCATTCAAGTATCAGGGCGTCGAAATAAAATTAAATTTCATGCATTCATCTGTTATCATTTTCTGAAAATAAATTGTACTCACAGAAAAAACTCACGGATTATTTAATTTGAAGAAATTCAAGGGAATTCGGAATTCCCTAGCAACTGAAAGCCAATACGTTATTTTTATCGGTTTTTCCCTCGAAAATCTGAGTAAATCGTTAATTCAGTAGCGAATGGTTAAAAAAATTTTTGAATTATGTCACTTTACCACTTCGCTACCCAATTTATATTGTCGATTAAATATCTCCCATTTAGCCATCCGGTAATTACACTGGTATCGATGAATATTACGACTTGGAGAAAGGTAATATAGACTTACAGCGGAAAACGGTGGATTACAAAACTGCGACAATCCCGAGGCGTATAATTCAAGGAAATAATTCCAACTATTCTCAAAAAAAAAAAAAATTGCGCACATGAAAATGTATTAAGCATCCACTGATGCATTCCGACTATTTACCGTTCACATAACCATCGTTATCACGCGTATGACACATTCTCATATCACAGCTTTCTCCTCTAATTATTCGTTGAATTACTCCACATTGTCTGAAATAAAATAAAAATGCACGCGATCTCATATAAATTTCTCTAAAATATCTAAAGAATAACTAGACGAAATAAAAATTTTTTATAGCTGGCATGTGAATAAAAATAAATATATTGATTGGCGATTCAAAAAAAATAGCAATGGGAATTACCCAGAGTATGTCGTAATCCCCTCACTGTCGATCTCCGATAAAAATAAAAGCCAAAATAAATAAAAAATAACAAGGAATAATGAGCATCCCGTCGGGCCTTGACTCCGACCGGAGAATTATTATGTCTACGCGTAAATTTACATGTTCGTAATCTTTCACAGAGTTGATAAGATGATTCGTAGACACTAATGATGTCGATTTCACTAAAAACGAGAGGATTTCACTGGCCATTCCTTCGTCCATTTGACGTCCGACGAATAATTTCAAAGTCTCACGAATAACACAAAGAAAACAATAAGCATCCATCCTTTTATGACCCGTAAATCGGATAAATCATGAAAGAAATATCATAAAAATTCATATCACAATCGCCGTATGAATTTTGAACTGAAATTATTTATAATCATGAGTCATATCCATGGAGATTATTCAAAATTACGAAGAAGCTTGAATTTATATTTAGTTACCCAGATATCCTTCAGTGATATGGAACAGAAAATATATATTAATGAATAATATCCCCGAGACATGATGAAAGTTTCATGGAGCGTCTAGATCTCCTCAGGATGATGTTGACGTAGGATGACACAGAGAATACCCATAAAACTGCTGTCAATGCTAAGATATAATTCATGTACTAAATTGTACTCCATCCTGGGGTAAGGAGCAATGTGTATTATTAGAACTAGTCCAGGAACGTCCCCTTTGTTTCATGAAAAAATGCGTGACACGGAATCGTCAGCGTATGCACTTCAGGGATATTATGGAATTAATGGGAGACGTCACGTAATGAGATTGCATAAATCTCTGATTGATACCTGAGTCAACCTCTTCATGTAAAAACTTGCCGATTTTTGTTTTTGTTAATCCTTCTGGTGTGTGAGTGCCATTTCGATGGCACTTGTCATCAAGGTCGTGTTGAAGATGTGCAATGGGATGAGGGGTCCATGTGCTCAAGTTTAAATATCTGGTCGTGTCAATTCATCACTCTGCAAGGATATTTCATTCTGCATTCTCAATTTCGTAATACTCTCGAGAATAATTCATCACTTAAATGCCAGTGCTCAAATGTTTGCATTACTCGAGTTTTCACTATCATCTTCCTCTTGCATCAGCTTCCCAGGCATTGAAAATTATTGCTTTATCAGGAATTGAGAAAGCAGTTGGATAACGCAAGTACTTTTGAGACTTTATTTACGCGCAAATTAATTTATCAACTCGGTAATGAAGGGATAAAATTCAATGAGAATTTAATGGCTCTCTTAATTATCGAATCAAGGTGGTAATATTGATGAGGTTTATTGCAGATAAATTTCCTGCCAAAAGTCAATGGTTTCGGAGATTAATCGATATTTAATATAACTCTAAAATTCGGGTTTTGTAAATTCGCTAAATTCGCGTGGTTGGAGTGCACCGGTAATGACTATTTATTTACAGTTGTACTGAGATATGCATATTAGAGTTTGAATTGACGGTATTGCCGTAGGTTATGAATCGAAGAATTCCCGAATAAGCTAGCGATGCGATGAGTAAGTGTGAAACAGTATGTGACGTTGTCATTATAATCAGCATTAGTATAAAGTCCAGAAGTGACTGATCACTGATGCGCCGACGGCTTCGGTTTGCGGTAGATACTGCAATAGAAATGCATTCAGTTATTTCCATTTTTTAAACTCTTAAACACTTGTCTTTGTCGAATACTCGAAGTTTGCATGTTCAATTGTATATCACTGTTACTTCCTGTTTTTAATATTGGTACTCTGCAATGGCCGATTTTTATGTGGAGATAATAAACCATGATGATTGATAACTTTCTGATATATTTGATATTCGATAAGATAATTAAACTGATTGTCTTCTCATTACACCGTTATCTCATCGTAGAAAAAATTGGAGGAACAAAATTCGAACGAAATTTAGAGGCATTGGTTAATTTATAACGATATTATTTATCGAGGTGAAAAAATTATTTATGTGTGTCGAGTGTCCACCAAGTGCTTACTCGCTAACTTAGTTCTGATTATGCATTCAACGAACTTATGGCTGGATTTATGGCATCGTAGATGTGACACCAAGAATATGACCACTTTTTCTTAATCCTGTGAATGGAAAAAAAATGTATAGACGATTAAACTTTAGCCCTAAGACCCATTTGGCTCCATTTTTCTTTATTTTTTTTCTTTTTTTCACCACCACTCGGGCCCGTTGACACTTTTGCTCTGCAAGTGATTGCGAAGTGCGAGTGCGAGAGCTTGCGAAAGTATATTAAACACAACTGCTCAGGTCTTGCTGTTGCAATAATTAATTGCCAATGACGGAGATGCAAACAGTCACCAGTTTGGATTACAGTGGATCAAGATACTGAATACGGTTGGAGTTAATTTTAGAAAGTGATAACAGCACAAAAACACCTCCTCTCAATGATCCTAAAGGAGCAGAGAATGGAAATATTCTTTTGATAATAATAAAACACGTGATTGAAGAATTTCCGCGACAATTCCCCGAGTTTTTTCGCGTTTTTATAGAAAAATTTGTCCTCATTGCTCCACCAATGAATGCACATTTTTCCCTGTAATACGATAAAAAATCAATTACAAACTTGAATGGTATATGACATTAATTGCGTAATAATGATTAGAAACTGGATGATGAATTTTTCCAAGCTTATCTAGTCTCATTCCATGATGTATAAAAAGGCAAAACCGGGGATTTCTATGAATAAAAAAAATAGAGAAGACAGGCTGATGATAATTGAGTTGATTTTACATTGGCAAACTGTAGTGTAAGTCTCGGCAAATAATAGCACTCGATAAGTTTAATTGGCACACGTCTGCGAGCGACACTGATGGGGCCAGAGAACTCGTGCTCTCTTTCCAGCCAGACACTTTATACAATTAATCTCTCAATTTTTCCACAAATAATGCATCAATCCTCGCATAATCGAGCCTCATTTTTGGGTAATTTACGGTTATTATATTTCCCAAAAATAATAGCGAATTGACTGGAAAAATCCAATGGCGATTATCATGCAGTCGCTAGGCATAACACTAATATTCATATTTCGTTGATTAATTCACGTACACATGTGTAACTCTTGTTTGTATGAGTCTCCGCAAGATATCGTTATCGAGTACTGAGAATATGTATTTTTTTAAAATATGAGGTCAAACGAAAGGAAATTTTCCCGAAAATATTGGCGTTTATATATAATAATTAATAAATTAATTACATTTAAGGAATTGTTGTGAATATAGCTATTGCTAATTAATTGATTTTTATGTAATTACAGATGCAGATTTGAGCATGGGTACTGGAGGTACGGGAGCGACAGTCCTCGGAATTCCAGGATCAGGGGTTGGTGGTGGTGTTTTATCACACTGTGCTATTTGTGGTGATAGGGCAACGGGTAAACATTATGGGGCAGCGTCTTGTGATGGTTGCAAAGGATTTTTTCGACGTTCAGTCAGAAAAAATCATCTCTATACCTGCAGGTGATTAAAATACATCAATTATACGATATACGAGAAAAAAGTTATCGTCAAACTCGTTGAATGTCAATTGCCGGTTAATCGAGACGTCGGATTAAAAACAAGTAATCGTCGACGATACACGTGGCAGATTCAAAGAATCGATGAGATATCGGAGGTATCGGGCATTCCCATTTTTATTGTGGCCTCTGAGATCACTCAACGATTAACCCGAATATTAGACGATTCAATAAATGGACCGAAACTCGAATTGACACGAAATTTTAACAATAATGAGAATCAATAAAAAAAAAGGACTGGATTAGGATGGAAATTTTTTTTTTATGATTTCTGTGGAATTTTATATATTAATCTGTCCATGAAATTTTATTTTTTTCCCAATATCGTAATAAAGGTGATGAAATCAGAAATGGCGAAGATTTCCATTTTTATTGCGATATGAATAGCCATCTACAGTCGCTGCGATGATTAAGCCGAATTTTATTTCGACTTATAATTCTCGATAGTTAAACTGATGAATTCATAGATGCTTGGCCGAGATTTTAGTATGCTTTTTTCATACGCGAAAGTAGTGCATAATTGAAAAACGATAAGTTCCGTGACAACCAGTGACGACTGAATGGAAAAATAATTTTTTTTTTTCAAACTAGAGATATTGAATGTCAATTCGCATACCCGAGGGATGCAAATAAAAATTTTATGATGTTTTTCAGAACAGCGCGAGTGCTTCGGGAAATCTTTTCTAGAACTATTCCAATGAAAACTTAATGTATTTGTGAGAATAAAATAGAGAAGATTCTTCTGGAAAATAGAAATAAATAGAAATTCAATGATTAAAAGGGAGAAATTCACGTTACGATTAATAGTAAATATCTGAAATTGAATTTGTCGACAGATTTAACAGAAACTGCGTGGTGGATAAGGACAAGCGCAATCAATGCAGGTACTGCAGGCTGAGGAAGTGCTTCAAAGCAGGTATGAAAAAGGAAGCGGTGCAAAATGAAAGAGATAGGATCAGTTGTAGAAGACCCAGTTATGAAGAGCAAACAAGTAATGGTGGAGGCCTGTCCGTAGTATCTTTATTGCAAGCCGAAATGCTGAGCAGACAAGTAGTGGCGGCCTTAGAGGTCAGTTTAATTTGGTAACTCAAGCACTCTGAATATTTATATAATTTGCCCATCGTCACGAATGCCAGTGAATGCATTTGAAACGTACAAGTAAAATATAAATCCAGTATAATTTATTTTTCTTGTTGTCGGCTGAAATATTTTGTTCAGATCTGAATTGAATAATTCATTTACTTCAGGTTCAACAACTCGGTAGTCCGCATAATGAGACTGATCTTAGTAATAAGCAGATAGCAAACATAAATGACGTCTGTGACAGCATGAAACAGCAATTATTGATTTTGGTCGAGTGGGCCAAGTACATTCCGGCATTCTGTGAGCTCACATTGGACGATCAAGTTGCACTTTTGAGAGCTCATGCAGGTGAGCATCTCCTTCTTGGTGTTGCTCGTCGCAGTATGCACCTCAATGATGTATTATTACTCGGAAATAATTGTATCATCACAAAAAGCTGTCCTGGTACGTATCATTGAATTATTTATTGTAATAGAACTGGTAAAACTTGAGTCACTCTTAAAAATGATTTAAACCTACGTATCTCGGGATTTCATTGAATTAAAAATCATTAGAAAATTAAAATTCGGCAATAAAATTCGCTAAAAAATTTATAACGTGCATACGATAGAATATATTATTTGTATCAGTATTTATATTTATATTTTTAGGGAATATTCGGATTGATGATTTGATTTGGAAAACTCGGGGTACATGCGTTGAGTAATTGCTCTGAGTTACTCGAGTTTTACTAGAGACCATCGAATAGTCTTTAGGTCGATTTAAATACGAACGATAGTGCATGAAGTAATCAATGAAACAATTCAAGATAAAGGTCAAATTATTTGGCACTGATTTGAATAGATCATGAACTAGTTTCTTTCCTCCGGGAAAAATTAAACTGTATATTGCATTTTCTGTGGCTCGTGCTCACTCTCAATCTTGTGATTAATGGTGCTGGCTCCATTGAATTAATAAAAATTCATGAGTATATAAAAAGGGTTGGTGACGGTCTCGATCATATATTTGATTAATAAACCTCGTGGTACAAACATGACGAGGGATGTTGCACGAATTCATTGGGGTGTAGATAGCAGGCTGAGTCCGGTATTGAGTGTCATTTTATAAGTTATTACAGCGTGAATAACGAATGATGAAGAGAATTTATTTTGCGCAAAATTATTGAGGCAAGAGTATTGGACTCAGTCGTGATATTGAGTTTGAACGGTTTAACTGTGGTTATCAGTCATATCAATGCCAACAGAGGGACGCAATCAGGATTTGGATATCAGCAGGGTGGGAATACGTGTGATGGATGAGCTGGTTAAGCCATTGAACGAGGTGCAGATTGATGATACTGAATTTGCTTGTCTCAAGGCCATTGTATTTTTTGATCCAAGTGAGTAATTTTCCATTAATCATACAAACACCGTTCCCTCAACTGTTTATATTCAATTATCCCCGTACCTGTTCATCTCTAGATGCAAAGGGCTTGAGTGAACCAGCGCGAATAAAACATCTACGGTATCAAATACAAATAAATCTGGAGGACTACATCAGCGATCGCCAATACGACAGTCGAGGACGCTTTGGGGAAATTCTATTGACACTACCAGCCCTCCAGTCCATCTCCTGGCAGATGATCGAGCAAATACAGTTTGTCAGGCTCTTTGGTGTTGCCCACATAGACAGTTTACTCCAAGAGATGCTTCTCGGTGGTGCTAGCACTGATTTAAATGGTACGACACCTTTACCAATTTCTAATGCACCAGAGAGCTATGTCAGCAGCAATGAAAGTCCCAGTAGTCCACTTACACCAGCCAATACTGGGCCCCTGAGTCCCCAGGATCACATGCTAGGTGCCACAAGTCCTGTTATGATTCTACGGGATTTAACTCCCTTACCTCAGGACGATCCCAGTACTGTTGGTAGTTTTCGATTGTTTAAACAAGAACCCAGTATGGAAACTGAAACGCCATTTTGACTAGAGGAACTCTCACTCTACTCGGACGATATTAAATACTATGTGCAGTGACGTGCTATTTATCTTTTCTCACGGAGAACATAATATTTTTTTACTGGTTGGAATTAAGGTTCCTCTTGGGCATTCATTGATTGATCAAAGTGCCTAATCACCTCAATTCGCTCAAATTTTCGAATAGTAATACATTTAAGCGTTATTTTTGTTTTTTGTTGTAAGTGACAATACAGGTACTGAGCACAATGCCATTTTTGCCATTGGTCTTTATATTCGGTGCTCGAAATCATTGCTCAATTTTAAACTTAGTGATTACCCTATCCATGTTGAATCAATATTGCAAATCATGTTTCAAGTCATGAATGAATGATGAATTACAGTTTAAATTTTTGTTGAGTGCGGGGATAAAAGGGCGGGAGTATAATTATTTGGTCGACGACTCAAGAGTGAATGATTTTTTCATTGCTTTACATTCTATGGTATTATCGTTGAAGGTATATTTTTGATAGATGTGTCTTAAAGGCATCGAATTATTAAATTGAAAAATATTTTTCATGATATACTTTGAAATTGCCATTCCGATAATGCAGTTATATGTACGAGCTCATTATACGCATATATAAATATACTGTTGATGATGTATATAATTTTATAAAGTAGATTGTTACTGTTTAAGCAATTCGAAGAGAACTTTGATTATTCTTTGACGATGTAAGCCGCTACAATGCAATTTAATTTAGTAGAATCAGCCGACAAGATTCAGGGAATTCTGAGAAATCAGGTGAATAACAGATTCCAAAGTTTCATTTACGAACAATTATTCTAACTTATTATTCGATCCATAAAAGGGTGTCGAGTGTGAAAATAATTTCACGGAAAGTTGGTGCACATTTTGGCCGGACATGAAAGCAATACTAATTAATATTAAGATGTTAGAGTGCTCTCAATTATTCAGAGATATATTTTCGTAAAGAGATAATCTCAAGTAATATTTAAAAATTGCATCAGGGATAGAAGAATTAATTTTATACTAATTTAAGGATTCGTTGATATTTAATTTTTGCGGTACGTGAAATAAATTCGAAGCAAATAATGCTTGGCTCTTCATAGGAACGAGAAAATATATTTGATATATCAGTTTTGAGGGAGAGGTATTCACACTCATTGATAAATTCATTAATTTCGAAGCATTCGATGATTTTTCAAATAATTAGCGCCGGGTTGTGAATTAGAAGGCAAGGAATGTTACAGAAATATTTGTTACCTAATCATGTTCACGCTCGTTTACAATTTCATGCTCTAGACCCTGTTGCACCAGTTAACTGTTAAGCCAACTCTATAAGTTGACGTAAAAAACGAGGATTAGCCCTGGGAGTTGAATAATTACCAGGACTTGGTGCAACCGGGCCTTAGTTGTATATATAATAATTTTTATTTGTTATTTAATTACGAATTCGATGTTTATATAATTGAATAAAGGGATATGTGATTTACTATAGGATTCCATTCCATTCAATCCTTAGATTCAAATTCAGCTCGTTTACGTTTTCTTAGGAGATTCGAGACTGTTTCAGATGTCTCGATATTTCCACCACCCTGCTTTAACCATGCTATTAAAAGTTCCCTTGATTTTCGCCCTGAAATATATAAATTCCTTTCGAGGATTGGCAGTTGACCAGCTAGAGTGGGATCTGGCATTGGATTCTGGGCCCAATCCATTATCAATCTAACTCGAGATCTGAATGTCTGAAATAAGGAAATTCCATTGAACCACATTCCCTGTTTATCCTCGTGAATAACTACATACCAGTGCAAGACTTTCTATGATTCTCTCACAGTCACGATGATTGAACTGTCTTACAAGCATTCCTAACTCATAATAATGTTGACTCCATTTGCTCAGAGTTACTGCACTCGCATCAGCCTCTAATATTTCCCTACAATAAATCAACGATCGAAATATGATCTGCAGTACGTGGAAATAAATCAGTGAATGCTTGATCGAGGAATATAAAAATCTAACCGGTAGCCTTCCTTGTAAAATTTCGGAATTTCAACACTGACGACTGGACGTCTTCTGCAATGCAATGATTGGGCTAACCAGAATGGAAATTCCAGTTTAGTACCGACTTTCAAGTCATCAGAATCGGATGATGCATCCAAGAAACCTGGAAACCAGAGAAATCATTCTCTGAGGTTTATCAAAACTCATGTTAAGGGACGCATGATAACGATTGGAATCGATCCGGTTTCTCCATCTTTCTTCAATTGAAGAGGTCAATTGACCTCATTGATCATTGAATAATCCAACGATTTTTGACCGTTCGAAAGATGTTTATCCAAATCTTATCTAGATTATACTCATTACTCCATAATACATACGATTTGTAGGGTTAGTAAGTCAATAAATAAAACTCACCCAAACGTGGCAACGGCATTTCCAATTGGCACGAAATTCTTTCCTCCGTCGCCAGTATATCACTTATCGAGAAATAATTAGGTGTATATCCGTGGGTTGACGACATTTTTGCACATACAAAAACGTAAGAAAACAGCACTTATCACACACAATACGATGGTAAACACTTTCCCGCCAGCGAAAATAATGGTTATGACGCCGGCATAGTTCCGAGAATTGCCGTTTAAAAAAATTCAATTGCTGTCACATTCTCGATAAATACAATTCCCATACACACTGGAATGTCTCACTGGCACAATGTAATTATTTAATTAACACTTCACTTTCTTTTGATGCACTTTTTCGTAACTTCCACTTTTCCCGGTTTATTCGAACATCAGTGGAAACCAGAGAGGATTGACTAAAGTAGAGGCTCACTTCTGGGGGTTTGAATGACCCCACCAGCATTGCAGCACCTCACCCCAAGCGGGAGAGGGCGCCACGCAAAGGGACCAATCGACTGGGTGAATTTTATTTTCAGAAAATTTTTAATTTTTCAATTTCAGGGAATCCCTCCTCGATTTTCATGATCCCCTGATACTTTTCGAAAAATTTCGAAATTTAAAATTTCAGTGAATACCCCCTCCTTTTTCATGCTCCCCTGTTACTTTTTTGAAAATTTTCAATTTTTCAATTTCAGTGAATACCTCCTCGATTTTCATGCTCCCCTGATACTTTTCAAAAAATTTCAAAATTTCAAATTTCAGTGAATACCTCCTCTTTTTTCATGCTCCCCTGATACTTTTCAAAAAATTTCGAAATTTAAAATTTCAGTGAATACCCCCTCCTTTTTCATGCTCCCCTGAAAATTTTTTGAAAATTCAAAAAATCGGTATCAGGGGAGCATGGAAATCGAGGAGGTATTCACTGAAATTGAAAAATTTTAAATTTTCAGAAAATAACAATCACCCAGTCGACTAGCCCCTCTGACAGCGGGACTACTACTGAGGCAGTTACCGAGTCGGCTGACGGGTAGGAGGCAATCCCCACCATTGGGTGCGGCCCCCACTTTCTCTTGGGGTGAGGTACGCCCCCAGAACTGAGCCACTCAGTGGGGGTTTGAGTGACCCCACCGGCATTGTACCCCACCTCACCCCAAACGAAAGAGGGGGTCGCACTCACATGGTGGGGTGCCAACCTGTCAGTCGACTCGGTAACTGCCTCAGTAGTAGTCGCGCTGTCAAAGGGACCAGTTAAGGATGTTCTGGCGGGGTCAGAACGTATCCGAAAAATGAAGAGAATCGAGTGAAACTTTTTTAAAACATTATTTAAGGCATTTCAAAACCATGTGCAAAATTTCAAAAATTTCATCAACAGAAAAACAATGAAAATAAATTGTAAAATTAGTATTTATGCATAAGGTTAAATGAGGCATCGATAACTTTAGCATTTTCTCTACATTATCTATCAATCGGCAATATAGGTAAAATGTTGAAGTTATCGATGCTCCACTTGACCCCGTGTATAAGTAGCAACTTTACAATTTATTTTCATTGTTTTTCTGTTGATGAAATTTTTGAAATTTTACACATGGTTTTGTAATGCCTTAAATAATGTTTTAAAAAAGTTTCACTCGATTCTCTTCATTTTTCGGATACGTTCTGACCCCGCCAGAACATCCTTAAGAGAGTGGAGGTTATTTTCTGACCGTCAAACACCCCCATTGCGTGTGGCGCCCTCCGTCTCTTGGGGTGCAGTACTACGATGCCGCTGCGGTCATCACTCCAACCCCCAGAACTGAGCCTCTACTTTAGTGAATCGTCTTTGGGTATGTATTCTTATATATATTAAGGAGCTCATGTACAGCAACACCTCACTTTACAATTCCCTCTATTTTCCATCCAAATTTTGTAACAACTCGTGATTTCGCTGGAAGAAATAATAACATTTTTTTTTAAATTATCGTGTAACAAATAATAATGCAGTGGAATTGATTACGCCAGTGAATAATTCGCGAGAGAGGTTATGAAGCCGGTATTAGGTTATCTCTTAATCGAGAACAATATTTGTTGCTCAATAGATATATCTATTTATCAACAAGTTATTTGATATTCAATCTGTATTTTTATAATGGATTATGAGCAACTGCAAACATATCAGCAGCAGATACTAGCTCAGGCTCTCAATGAGGTCAGTTCGCCAATTTTTTTTTTAAAGAATTTCACAGTATTTTTGGGAGAGAAATAAGAAATCCGTGAAATCCGTTGATTTTAAGAATTATAATTGTCAATTTTGGGATTTAAATTTAATTTGTAGGGGGTGAGGCGTAATAATGAACAAGTGAAAATTTGGAGTGACTACAAGACGCGTCATGAAAAAGTTCTGGAAGGTTTGGGAATGCTGCCCCAGAATTTATCTGTAAACTGCATGGTACCTGTAGGTCGACGTGCATTGATACCTGGTAAATTAGTTCATACCAATGAGATTATGGTTTGCCTTGGTGATGGATATTTTGCCAAGTACAGTGCCGCACAGGCGATCGCTCTGTGCAATCGTAGGATTCAAAGTATGTACTATCCACACCCCGATTTTTTTTACCTTTTCTCACATTCTCTTTCGAGTTAATTAATGTTTAATTCCAGAAGCCAACGAGATGCTCGGAAATTTGGAGAAGGAAAGAAACTTGTTTGAGATGAAACAAATGCTCACAGATACTTTCGATGTGTTCGGTGATAATAATAAGAAAGATTTACAGGAACTCTGGGATAATGAGAAACTTGAGAATTGGAGAGGTGCATATCGATCACGACGAAAAGTAGAATTTTTTTTCTGTCATGCTTTTACCTACTTGTTTTATTCCATTAGATGAGCATAGAAGACGTGAGAAGGAGTACAGAGAAAAATTGGTACAATTGAAAAATGAAAAGAAGGAGGAGATCAAGACGGAGGAGGATCTATTCAAAAGACTTGACGCCCTGGAGCTTCAAGAGGAGCTCGAAGACGAACTCTACAAGTAAAATATTAACTTGGGTTTTTTAAATATGTCAAATGGTTGTGAAATTGAGTGGAAATTAATTTTTTTCAGGTTGGAAGAAGAAAATCCAGAATTTTATACTCAGCAATTTGACGATGACCAGTACTATGACGAATCAGAAGTAGATTCAGAGTCATACTCATCAGATTATTCAGAAGAGGCGACGAATGAAATTAAGGAGAGAAAATCAACGAAGTTGAATCATCGTCTTCAAGTATTAAACAGTGTGAATACGTGTCAACTGGACATGAGAAACGAGGAGAATGATAGATATCTGAGGCACAGTAGGACAATAAACTACATTAGTACAAATGGAAATGAAGTCTCGCCGAATGAATGTCAATCATTTGATGTGGAGAAAGCTGAGGGCAATAAAATTGTAGATAGACTAGAAGTAAGAGAGAAGAAAGTAGCATTTGCTGAGCCACAGGTGAAATATTTTAGTAATGAGGAGGAGATGGAAGTTAGCACTGACAAGAGACGGGTGTCGGTCATTGAACAGAGGCTGTATGAGTACTGGAAAGAGGACGATGAGTCCGAGGATGAGAGTGATGAGGATGACACCATTAGAATTTACATTAAACATTCAGACAAAGAGTCTGATATTCCTACTAACCAGGGGACTGATATCGTGAGTCCTCGTGATATCTATAAATTAATTCCAGGCCCAAAATCAATATTGAAGAAAACGTCGAACCACTGTAGTTACAGTAAAGAAATTCCACCGTTAGCTGAAGTTACTACTGAGGAGTCGAGTGAGAACGAGGTGGAGCTAATATCTGCATATAATACTGTAAGTCGGAAAAATTAAAACCCATTTGACGCGCAGCGTAGCGGGATGCCGATGATTTATTTCTAAAAAATTGATTTATCGATTTGATTCTTTTGCAGATCGTGAAAGAAATAAAAGAACATACGGCTTCGGTGGCTCCTGCGGAGGTGGCGGAAACCCCACTGAAAAGAGTTAGTAAATTCAAAATGGAACGAGCTGGACTCAACAAATGAATTACATTGAGGGTATGGAGTGTTTTTTATTTGTCACTGCACTGTAATTCTATTAAGGTTTTTTCATTGAATAAATATATTGTTATATTGAATTGAGCGCCCCATTCATTTTAACTATCCACATCGGATTAAGGGCGAGGGAGGAACTTATGAATAACCAACATTTCATATCTGGCAAAATAATCAGTGAGAGTGAAATTGTAATTGCTGAATCCATTTATTCAGTCGAGAGAAATTTTATTTTGACTTTACCCTCCGTTACGCCTTTATACTGATTCCGAGTAGTCAGAGAATGATTGAGTTTCTCTATCAATTTCTTTGAGTCCGCCGAGCCAATGTACTCTCTTTTTTATTTCTTAATCGGAAATTATATTGCAGCCAACGATTTTTATTTAATTCCCGTGTCCTTTACGCTACATTAAGCAAGAAGGGAAAAAACGATCAATTTATTGATTCATCGACTGGGGAATACACTCGGCATCACGATTTTTCCTTCCGCGTGGAAGCCTTGTATTTGATCGATTTCTCGATTTTCTATTTCAATTGCGAGTTATCTAGAATGTTATGAACCGCGGAGAAACATTTTGAGATCCACTTGTTACGTAATTTTCGCATGAGAACACAGAAATTGGTGATTTGAATTTATTCCATGTGCTCTTCATCCCCCCAGAGTAGAAAAGTAGAGATAAAAAATTTGCACTCGTGATGAACAACAATCAACTCATTAACTCATGGAATAGGGGAGTATTCTTTTGTAAGTGATCAGCCCCGGGAAACTCACCGAAGCACCACAACTTTGTTCGATAAATTTCTTCTCATAGGCTTAATCAAAGAGCCCTCCCCCACAAGAGCCCTTGAGCTTAGTGCGAACTTTTCTAACCGAGTTGTTGAATTGTTTGCTGGAGAAATTGCCCCTTCCGTTCCCCTACGGGAGAGAATCAATTACAATAATCCGTTATAAATAGGGGAATTAAGATCAATGTGAGTCTTTGGCTGACAATGAGGAACTCGATTAGCCCGTATTCATGGATGGTAATAATAACACTACGCTGATAATGTTGAATCTCATGTTATGTGCATGAGAAACCGTCAAATAGGCCTTGCGAGGATCAGCCGCAGTAAAAGTTGGTAGTGAATGCATGTAGTTGAGTATTTTCTATGGTCACAAAGAACACATGTGGGTGGGAGTTCGGTAGAATGAGAACAGAGTAAACATGATGGTACCCTGACGAGAATTTAATTTCACTTGAGAAATGTAGATTTTGGAACTGCAGCGAAATATTCAACCATATGTCAACTATCTCCCTAATTTACCCGGATAGAGATGAATATTTGTTTCATTAGCCACAGGGCTCGTCATTATATCCCGAAAATTCTCGTCTCTTTCAACGTAATTCAACATTTTAGAGGGAAAATCGTCAGAAAAAAAATGATTATGCTTTTTAATGAGCCGCGTTGACGGTGCTACAGTGGTGTCACTGCGAAAGCAGAGAAATTGTACTCCAAATGAAAAGAGTGCGTTCCATTTGTGTCTCGGTGCTTTCTGCGGTTATAATTTTACATTTTCTTTCATTTTGCTGATTGTCTGCTCCGCGTAATTCTACTCCAGCGGGGCTAGTATTTATTTTCCTTACTTTTTTTTTTGTATAATAATATAAAGATTGATAGGGCCGAATTGATTTACATCGAATCCAATAATTTTTACCCGTACCTTGGAAATTATTGGAACCCAATCCTTCATTATTTCCTTCAAATCGTATCGCGTTCCCAATTACGCGAAATAATTGCTGAATTCAATATTTTTATAGCGGAAAACTGACATTTCTGACAGTAGTATTGTTCAATATATTTTTTATATGTTTTGTTTATGGAATATTTCTCAATATGTGATTTCAATAACATCATAACCCGTTATCTCCTCATATCCGGAACTTGGAAGTTTGACGAGAACGGAGAATCCAATCAAGACACTATCTAAACTTGCTCGTTGTTGATCCCAGCAGTAATATCCCAACTGCCCGAATCCTAGGTACACTATTAGTACTGATCTTTCATAATATTCGAGTTTGCTAGCAGCTGTGGCCTCCAACTATTGTAACAGCGTGGATAGTCGACGTTGAATTTAAAGAGCTTTTCAAAAATTGCGAATGAAATGATGATCGCACCGAATTGCATATATTTATGCTGGAGCATCGGTGGTCCAGCAACCAGGTGGTTTCTTCTAATTGAATACCACAAGTAGTTGAATTGGCCAGAAGACATGCGCCCTGTCCGTTTACCTTTACCCGCCGAATGCCCAAGAGGGTGGTGAGTTTTCATCCCTCCTCAGTCTGGCGCCGCGTGCGATGACGGTTAGTTGTTCCGTTCGAGTTCCATTCAATTACTGTATGTGAAACAACCTGATCAAAATATTTCGACAATTTATTTATCCTATTCGATCATCCAGACTGCATTTGATTACAATGACAGTTTTTAATTTATTATATTGAAATCATTGGGTTTTATGAATGCTCTAGTGGCTCTAGTAGTATGCTCGGTTCCACTCGACACTCACTGCAAGTTGTTTGAGTAATGGAGGGTGCAATTACTCCAAAAAATGTAACAAACATTTGTCCCATTGATTTCAGATAACATTCAAGTTTAAATACTTTAAATTATTTCTTAAACTCGTCGCTCTTGTTCACCGATTCGAGCGAGTGTGAAGAGTTATTCACGATAATTGAAGACGCGTGATTAATCATATTATAAATGAGAGAGACCAATGAATCCAGTGTAAGAATATTTCCTGGATTGGATACCAAATGGAGAGAAAAACATTTAGATTTCATCGAGCGTCCATCTGACCCTCGGCCATAATGCCTCATCGATTTCATTTCATTAAAGAAACATCAGAAAGTTGAACACAACGCGGACAAGAAAAAAATCGAATGAATCGCCAGACATGACTATCAGGTGGTATGTCAGGGCTATCCTGGCATTGTGCTATGTCTCGACAATAGCAAATACAGAAAAACTTCAATTATCAAAACCAAAAGAACTCCTACGCCATCAGCAGACTCATCGTCCATTCTTCATCGATCGCCGATTAATCCAAGAGACAAAGCAACCACAGACGCAGATCGAGAAGCAACAGGAGGATGTAACAATTGTTCAACCAGAAGCAACAATAGAGAAAGCACAGATAAGACATGGCAGATCTCGAGGGCATTACACGAGGGCAAAGTCAACAAAAGAACTATCGCATGTTGAAAGTTACTCGGTGAGTGGTAGAGCCAGTGAAGTCACGCCCCAGGATAATGGTTTGTCGATGGACCCCATCCATCAGAAACTCTCAAGATCTGCCAACGACACACTCGGAGACTTTGAGTTTGAGGGCTCCCCAATGACAAACGTTACACTCAATATTTCCACTGTATCACGTGAGCCGTATATTCAGTCACGAAGGTACGGTCAGGTTGTTGAGCAATTCAATGGGTCACGCGCCACTGACTACCTCCGTAAGTTACGTAAAGTGGGTACATCGGGTAGTGATAAAGTGAGTCCATGGAATAGAAATACCACTCGTCACGATATCTATAATATCGTCGATCATGAACAATTGGAGGATGAGAGGTATCACTTGGAGGATATGCTCGAGAAGATTGAGCGTGAGGAATACACCTACGATGATGAACAAATAAAAAATAATACTGTTGATGTTAATTATAATGGTGGTATTGATTACGGGGATGGTACGAAGCGCGGTGATAAGGCCAGTGTACCGGATGACGTGGTCAGTCGATTTTTACGAATTATTGAGAATCAACACTTGTTGGGGGAGAATTGTACTGCTGGTACTGACTTGAATCTTGGTGAGGGAGTTGTTGATCAGTATGCGCAGGAGAGATTTAGGCTTGAGGCTAATTTAGCGGTTAATCGGGCTAATATGCTCACGAGATTGTGGAAGTATGCGCCCAATGTGATGATGTCCTCCGAATATCTACTCCACGCCAGTGTTCTGTCGATGGTTGAATTCGATGAGGACATATTTGCCGCTGGTAATTGTTACGACAAAATGCAGTACAAGGAGCACTGGTTGTACTGCCCTTTTGCTCACCGACTCCAGGATCATGATGCAGTTCTCGTCAAGGATCTCGCTGTCGAGTACAAGTATCTCAGCAACAGCAGCGAGTGGTTTTTCATTGCCCGGAAAAATGCTGAGAGGGTCATCGCTAGTAATAATCAATTTAGTCGGGGTGAGTTTTTTATTTTTTTTTTATTAATCGCCGGATTTTGATATTCAAATTTACTGGGAAATTTCACTGCATGATTTCTCACGACTAAGGGCTGTTGAATGATTGTTAAAACGAGTTGTTAGTTGTAACGATATTGGGAGAAGTTCCAGCCAATCGTTATCGCAAAAATCTGAAATAAAAGTGTCGCTATTGATGAATCCGGGAGGAGTGGATTTTTTTTATTTTCTGCAGAGTAGAGTAATTAAGTATTAGCGCACGAAGCCTTTTTGCTGGGGCTTATCCCAATAAATCTACAATCTCATCCTGAGAGAGCAGTTTCCACGAATGTCGAACACATAACGGTTTAGAGAGTGAAAATAGGGAAATTACGTGCTTGGATAATAATCTCGGAATGTCCCAGGGAGCCGTTTAATTTAACCATGAAAGTGGAATGCGATAAACTTCTCAATGTCCCGTGCAAAAATATTACAGTCACTGGTATATACCAGATTTTGCCATTTACGTTGTGCCTACGGCATTTAATTTTCTTATGATTCTAAACATGTCGTTGGATGGAGGGAAAATTTATGACTTTCCTTCATATCATGTAAATAACATGGGTAACAGAGGCTCGGTGCAAGGTCACTCTGCACCTATGTGCCTTGGCGAAAAGCTCAAAAATTATATGAGTATGTACTCATAAATGGCGTGAGCCAATGGCACGTGCGAAGGGAATTGTGTGCATGACATTTTGTCGGTACCTCATGCGCCTTGATTTTTATTGGCTCTTTTGGCGAATAGAATAATGGAAATCATCCCCCGTTGTCTTTGAGGGCAAACTTTGCTGCCAGAATTCCATGGTAATTATCCAGATGGCCGACGGCCGACCGGAGAGGTTCCTGACATATAAGTTATAAATACGACGCGGATGGGAAAAACGAGGTCCTTTAACCGATGAGTAAAACCCGAGGGAGAAAACCGGATAATCGATGGAACGATTGCCAAAAATAATTGAGTTGCATGGACTCGATGATGAGCGAAAGGGAGAATAGCTGTGAGAAAATAGGATGAAATCAACGTGGGAATTGGGGATGGGGTCGAATTTATTTTCATTGTTGGTGGCAAAATAATAGCTGGATCTATAATCTGAACGGGTCGAAAGGTGAAGAGGTTATACTGGGCTATTTCGAGTGGATGTGATATGGAATTTATCTTCGGTTCTGATTCATTTGCGAGTGATGGCTCAGTAAAATATACTCGAGGAGTATCGCTGCTTGGATTTTCGGTTTAATCCAGGGATTAATATTTCCATCCTCGATATATAATTCAGTACATCACGTCCGAAACATTTATCCATACCTGTTTGAATGGGGGGGAGGGGGGGGGGCAATATCGACTTTAATGAACGATAAAAGTCATTTAAAAACTTGGTTTATCTTCTCTCGATGAGTGATAAAATTTGAAATTACTCGTTGAAAATCAATGATTCCATTTGGAAGTTAAAAATTTTAATGGGCACCTTGATATTAATTCCCAATGGTCTTTTATGATGGTTATTACGGTCGATTGGAGCATGCCTGAAAGCCAGGAATTCCGGTCAACGCGTCGGTTCAGGATGTATCTATCGGATGTGGTCGGGTTACCTAGCCCATCACTCCTGCCCATTACCATACATTCTAATCCATCGGTCATTCGATTGAATTTCGACGGATTTCTCGCTGCGATTTTGTCAGCTGCCTTAATATCTCCCAGCCTGTTACATTCCCCTCCCAATTCGGCTAATCTATACGCCCACCCATTAACTAACAATTACACTCCGTTATTAATTGCATGGTAATTATTGAAATCACTTATTTCTCAACAGAAAATAGTGTATAGGATTTTTTTCGCAGTGAGGCACAAATTAGAAGATAATTTGAGGAGGAAATTATGACTCACTTATAATTTTTTAGTAATTTTCAATGCGGTTACCGCATGTGCCTTCTGTTCGGTGATATATTTCTCTCCCCTCATGTTTCGTTCATTGGATTATCACCCGGGGTGTGGAAATGGAATAAAAATATTACCCTCTGTAAAAATTGGAGAAAAAAATCTATCCGCCAACTGCCGTGCGGACACTGGCATTGCCATAGATCTGTCTTGCCGAGGATATACAATTTTCACTGCTCACTTGGGATTCCCATTGAGCGGAAAAAACTGAAACACTTTTCCGACGCAAATACCATTGTTGGCTGTTGCCATGATATATTTCAAAGGATCCGTTCTCTCGTTCCTCTCCGTTAATACCGATTTGAGAAAAAAGATACAAAAATAACACTGGGACTGATAAATCGTTTTAGAACCCGGAGGAGTGAATGCATAAAAACCAGATCATTTACTCGGAAAAAATAATTACCCCTGCATTACCATGATTTCTTCGTCCGTGAATTTAGATTTAAAATTAATAGTGAGGGCATTCAGTTATTCTCATTTTCCCTGAGAGATGAATCGCATTGTTCACAGACTCATGATCCAGACAACTATTTATCTTTGTTCATGCGCGAAAAATTGTCAGCGACATTTTTGTCACAACATTGAAATTAGTCAACAATAACAATCCTTTTTATTTCTCTCTGCAAATATTTTAGCAGTTCATGTTATTATTTTTTTAATATGAAACCGAGCATCACCGTGAAATTCCATTTATTGCAAACGAATTTTTTTCATTTCTTTTCCTTGATTTCTTCTGCAATAAAAACATTTTCCAAAAAAAAAAATCGTTTTCTGGAGTAATAATTCATATACCGTGAAAATCATTGTTCCGATCGGAACGTGCATTTTGGAAAACTATTCATCGCGGCATATGGCACCCCAGGAACCATTGATTTTCTTGAAATTTCGATGAACAAAAAACGTGTTAACAATTGAATGCCATTGTGTCGAAGCGTATCTGTGCCAAGCCGAAAAAGTGCCTCGAGCTCACGATTTCCCAGAGCACGTTCTGATTCAACAATAACCGAGAGAGACATATAGCTGCAGTTGACTAGTGCGAAATGAAATTGCGTGAGCAGTGATGGATGTCATAGAGACTATTTCGTTTACTGAGTATTCTATACTATCTGGAGATTCATAAAAGCCGAGGAAAAAGTGAACCAGTTCACCCTCTCGACGAAAAAAAAAAGCAACATGACTGAATTTTATACAGGTTTAAATACGCGCAATGGCATTCTTTCATACTGACTTTTTAAAAATTTTATAAAAGCCCGGGGCATTTTTTTCTCCAGCAGGCAACTTCTGGTCGTATATGTCAAACAAGTGACTCAAATAAGAAATGCGCTGACATTTTCCCTACAACACGAGAAACATTGGACCCTCGGAAATCGGAATATATTTATGTTTATAGATACGAGAACATATCTCCATATAAATGTGATATTGTGTTATTTTTCTTCTTCATTTGACTGCAGGGAGGCGTAAAAATTTTCCCATAACATCCATTAATCTTTCTTTCATCAGAATGAGTGATCAAATGGGTTTGATAAAATTCGACTGGAAGCCGATCCTCCCCCATCCCCCATTAGAATCAAAATTTAAAAATGCCCTGAAGCCTGAAGGTTCAATATTTCCCACCATCGCACATACACATTTGTTCAAAGGGGGTGAAAATAGTATAAGTGGATTTCCTGCATCCCTTCACGTGTTTTATATTCCTCTCTCTTCTTTTTCATTCCCTGTAGCACCCCTTCGGGCGCTTACCCCCCCTCGGTCAAAAACCCTCTTTCAAGAAGTTTCAAAATCGTTTTGCGTACCATCGCCTACCGGTACAAATATCCATTCAGGACAGCCGACCCCGTGTGCCTTGTTTTCCTTCTCCATTGCTTTTTTTTTTCCATTATTTTTCTCCTCTCCCTCAACTCGAGTAGAATAAAAGGAGAGCTAAGTTGAAAGTCTAACTCGAAAATTCGCCCGGATATTCAGTCGGGGTAAGTGAGATGGTGAAATGAGCTCACACCGCTGAAGATTTTGACGTGGATAGAAGGTGCCGTGGGATCTAACGAAAAGTCGAATGAAAGGGGTTTCGTTGGTGTGGGAGTTAAGCGGAAGGGTTTGCTAAAGGCGAGAAAACGTGCAGTTTGTGAAAGCACCCTCTGTGAATTTTCACTCCCAGCAGAAGGAGATTGGCGGTTTACCGAATCTATCTTCTGTGTTTTTTTTTTTCTCTCCTCATTTCTCTCTCCCACACCTATTTCACATCACTCTTTTGCCCTTGCCAACTTCCATCCGGAATTTTTTTTTTTTCATCGCAATCTGCGTAACCCACGTCACCATTCACTCAATTCCTTCCTCACGTGTGAACTCTGGCCCAAACTCTCTCACCCAAACGGATGTACAAAAGGTGCTTTACACGGATCTAATCTGCTCTTTCCATTTATATATCTTTTTATGGTGGTTCGATTTCTAACTGTATAGGAATCACCACAGGGGGGTTCGCCTGAGCTAGGGAATTGATCGCCCCTAGCGTGACAAACTCACCCTGGAGTACTCCCCCGAGAACCTCTCTATAGGTTACTCCACCAACTTCCACTTCCATTCTTTGATTTTTTACTCGTTTATTTATTTTTAGTGTAGGAGATAGCGGAGATGCACCCTCGGCCCCGCGGGCTTCTATTTATCCTATTCCTTTTTCACCAATGTCTGTTATCTCTCTATTTTTTTTTTAAATGGCACTGTACATATATACTTGATTGTTCGCGGATATTATCGACGCCTCATCAGAGGTAAATAACGTTTTCTGGCTTTCCATCCAATTCCTCCCGGCGTATTTTTCAATTTTATTTCGAGTCGGTGGGAAGGTATTGCTTTTGCTGTGTTTACGTTGCAAGAAAATTGAGAGAACCAAATGGTTTAATTACCATCAATGCAGGCACATGAGAGATGCAGGAGAGTGTAAATGGCATTGCAAATAGAAATTTGTGACTTTCAGCATGTGGTATGCTTTAATAAAATTCGGTATATTTGTTCTCATGGAAATTGAATGGAGT